CCCCCCCTTATCACCTGAATCTCCTCCTAGAGCACCATTGCGTTCTTTTTAACCAAATATCTCTCAGAGGGGAGTGGATCCTTATTTTCATCTGAAGTAACAGACAGAGAATCAGTGCTTTTGAAACAGGGCTGAAACAGAGGGGATTATGGGATGCTACAATGCATGATCTGTTTGGTATTTGGAGCCAAGCACTTCAGATAAATGTGTTGTATATATCTGAGACCTATGATAAAGTAATGAAAAACAGTATAATAGGGGACCTTTAAAAAGCCAATGAATAACGTTAAAATAAAACAAGATAAAATAGAATAAGACAGATATAAAATACAAGAATAAAAGTAACAGGGCAGTGTAATATATGAATAGTTATTTGATCTATTCAAAAATAGCAGCAGAAAGTACAGTTAAATAAAACTGAAAATGAAAATATTGGCTACATCAAAGGTCACAAAGAGTTAGTTTGATGGGAGTCTGACCATTGGCTCGCCCCCAAAGTGTTAGACAGTGTACATCAATATCCAGGTCTGTTATTGGGACCCATATCTGCACAATGTGGCTGTCAGAGCTGGTTATGTCTGTTCAATTGTGGTCACTGAAACATTCACATTACTTTTCTCTAGAGTCTAGCACAACCAGAGACCAACTGTTCATTCCTTCCAGTAGAGGCTCTGCTTTTCCACTGGCAACCAGCATACCATTGGAGTAATATCAAATCTAGTTTTCCCTGTCATTTCAAGAATACTGAAAAAGAATTGCCTCATAAACAGTCTAAGTCGGAGCCCTATAACCCTCAAGTGAGCAGACCTGACAATCTACTGTGTCCACTGAGGAAGAATTAGGTGATAGTGGTATGCAAATGGACATTAATGCATTGCTTCATTAATAACCTGTCTTTGTATATGATATCCTATGGATGTATAGTGTATTGTCTATCGTGTAATTCGGGCCTTATAAGTTGTCGTACCAGAACTTTTTTCTTGAAATTGGGTAATATGTTTTTACGGTTTATACCCCTCAATCCTATAAAAAGAAGATGTTGCTCAATCTATTATACAGGAAAGCGCAGGGCGTAGTCGTTTCGAGACAGGCCTTGCTCACAGCTCTCCGTGATGATTGGTTGATGTGTGTGTCAGTGAATGTGACAACAGTTTTCATTGGTCAAAAAGGACGTTCCTGTCCTCACGTGCTTGGGCTCTTCCTTGAAGGTGGTGCCTACTAGCTGCCGGTTGGGAAGATTGTTGTTGTTTGTTGGGAATAAAGTACTTTAAAAGTACAAAAACTGGTCTTACAACATGGGAACCCGTGATGATGAATACGACTACTTGTTCAAAGGTAATTTCTTCTTTAATAGTGAATGAATGACAGCGTGTTACTCTTCTTTGTGAGTACGATGACAGCAGCACGAACTGAGGAAGTGATCTAAGCCAATGCTAAAGTTAGCTTCACTAGTAACCAAGAGGCAATCGATTACATTAGTAACCCATGTAATCACAATGTTAAGTTAACCTATCGATGTGTAAAGCTAAAACGTCGTCTTTAATTGATGTAGACCGTTAACTCGAAAACCAATTAGAGAATCCGGTGATGGCAGCTAACGCCAGAGACCTAGCAAGCTAACGTTTAAGCAAGTAAGCTAATGTTAGCTCGATTGCTAACATGGTAACTTAGCGACGAGGACTCAGTAAAACCATCACATGATACGAAATTCAGTTTTAAAATAAGTGCAAGCTATTTTACAGACACCATATGTTGTCCAAGAAAGTAGCTTTATTTTTATAATTTTCCCACTTTACGAGCCATCTTGTGTTAAGGCTAAGACTACTTAGCTAACTAGCTAACATAGTCCAGCAACGTTGCTTGAAATACAGAATACCTTTACTTTACCTTTATTCACCTAGAAATAATTGTAATTACAAGTTAGAAAAATACACATCCAGGTGGAAAACAAAAACTACCAGTAACAGCATTTTAAGAAATAATAATACTAGGTGTAACATTAGTAGTGTGATAGCAGTCATGTAACAGTAGTAACAGTGGAAGTATATATTGCACAGTTACTTACAGATTTATTACAGTCGTTGAATTGTATAACGAAGAGTCAGCAGTCAGCAATATAATAATGATGATGAAGAGGTGTGTATGTGTGTGTATATGTATGTATATATATTGCACACAAGTGATATTGCACAACAGAGGTGTTATAGTCGTGTTGTTGTATTTGAGGTGATCTACCAGGGGCCATGATGGTTGTAAAGTCTGAGCGCTTCCGCTTATAGGGAAATAAAGGAGGTGGATAGGAAGTGACATCCAAGGCCATTTATAATGGTCAACCATAATAATGGTCACAATAGGAAGGGAACTAAAAACTATTTTAATGTGACTTCTAAATTACTAAATATGCACTCTATGTTAGTGCAAAAAAGTATCCTAACCCCTAGCATGACCGTACCCAGGGCTGCTGTTTTAATGTTTTTGTGCATTGTGTTTCTAGTCGTTCTAATCGGAGACTCTGGAGTGGGGAAGAGTAACGCAGGTTACTCTTCCCCACTCCAGAGTCTCCGATTAGAACGACTAGAAACACAATGCACAAAAACATTAAAACAGCAGCCCTGGGTACGGTCATGCTAGGGGTTNGACGGTTAACGCCGCGAATCGTACGTTTTTGAGTCGAAACAAAGAGCGGGAGTACAAAAAACAACAACTCGGTCCTTGCGGCCCGGAAAAGAGTCGGACC